ATTTAAAATTTTAGTATATAATATGTTTAAAAAAATATGATTTATTTAATTTTTTTATAGTGTATAATTATAATTTAAAAAAATGATAAAATAAATGTGGATAAAAATACATGTGGAAAGAAAAAAAAGGAAAAAGATAAAAGATAAAATTAAATGAAGGAAAAAATGTAAGAAAAACGAAAAAAAGAAGTGTAAAATAAAAATATTTAAAATAAATATAGAAAAAGTAAAATAAAAAAAAGGGTTTAAAAGGTATATAAAATTGATTTAAAAAGTATATAAAATATAAAAGAAAAAAATAAGTGAAGACAAAAACGTAAAAAGAAAATGAAGAAAAAAGAAGAAGTATATAATAAAAATTTAAAAAATGATAGAAATCTCAACACACTACTCCTCTGAGTATCAGCTCTCTGCGCATCTCTCCTCGGTGTACTCCCCTCCGGTCTGCTCCTGGTGGGACAATTGAACGACAAATGGCCCATCTGCTGACATCTGTAACATCTGCTCTCCGTGTGTGGACAATCCCTGATCAAATGGGATCCACCACACCTGTAACATCTCAGAGTGGCACCTCCACTCTGTCTACCTCCACTAGCAGTACTGGAAAATTGCCTACTAACAGGACCCCCTTGCTGTGATTGGGGCCTATCATACGGTTTCCTCTGACTTCCTCCTCCCCTCTTGGACCCAGCTGGTCCCTCAGTAGCTCTGATCACACGATCACCCCCTTCTAACCTCTCCACAATCTTAGCCTTCTCTACCAAGGCAGGAAACTCGGTGATGGCCATAGGCACCACCACCTTCTTCAACTCATACTTCAGACCCTTTGCAAACTTTCTGCAATTCCAGGCCTCAGAAATAGTCTGTGAATAAAAACGAGTCAAGTGCTCGAACCTCATTGCATACTCCGATACAGACAGCCCTCCCTGGTGCAACCGCATGAACTCAGCCTCCTTGGCGTGCCTCACGCTCTCCGGGAAATACTTCTCCATAAACACCATCCGAAAGCACTCCCAGTCAACTATAACTCCCCTCGCCACAAGCATCTGATATGTGCCCCTCCACCAATGCTCGGCCTCTCCCACAAGCATATACACATCATACGCCAATCTCTTCTCTAGAGAACATCCAAGAACGGAAAAAATCTTCTCTAGCTCATGGATCCAGCAGTCAGCTACCTCTGGATCTGCATCTCCTGCAAACTGTGGAGGATTACACTTCCGGAACTCAGCAAGATCCCGGCTCTCTTGTGACCCTGTAGGTCTTGCTGCACCTGCTGCAACTCTTTCAGCCTTCATCCTAGCAAAATAAGTATTTTGCTGTTGCATAGCCATAGCCATCATTTTTATGGCACGGGTTATCTGTTCGTTGGTTCTAGTCATCGTCTACAAAAATAACAACATTTTCAGTATACTTCTACTCAACCCAACAACAATTAGTAACACAGCCATTCCTCACATCCATCAACATAGCAAACAACACAACAGAACAGCACAACACAGAGTTAACACAACAAAAGCCTAAAGGAACCACCCCCAAAGAGTGTCCACTAGACTCGACCTGCTCTAATACCACTAAAGTGTAACGACCCGGCTGGTCTCTACACTCACAACCATAACACATCGAAAACACTAGGCAGAATAGAACGAGTATATATATATAGGATCTAGAATATAAATATATACAGATGTCCCAAATCCGACTAGAGTTAAGGTGTCCAATACAAAAAGATACATCCAAAGCCACTATGCCAAGTGGCTGAAACAAAACAAAACCAAACATCGACAAGAGTCAGTCCCGCCTACCAGCTGCAAACTCACCACTGGCCACCATCTAACCCTGCTCTGCTCCCATACATAGTATGATCATCGCAGTCCAAACACATGGAAACAACAAAAAGGGTAAGCTAGCATAAAAAGGACAACATATAGGGAAATTTTAAGCAATAACAACAATTACAACCACCAACAATTCATCAATAAACATCCTGTTAGTTTTACAACACAATTTACCAATACACACACAATGCGTCGTCACGCATATCACCTCGGAGATCTCCTACAACAACTCAGCCTTTCGGCCTACATCACCTCAGCCTTTTGGCCTACAACACCTCAACCTTTCGGCCTACAACACCTCAGCCTTACGATCTATAACATCCAATATCATCACACAGTACAACACAACTGTACAGCTCAACATATCATCTTACAACAATGTACAACTAATACAACTCAACATATTCAACAACAATATTATCTACTAATCATCGCGTCGTATTCGTCCATTTCAATTCAACTCAGTGTAACAGCCCAAGCAACCCGCATGAGGATATTGTCCGCTTTGGCCCACGGCCGCACGGTTTTGCTCTTGGCGATGACACGCATGCCACCCCAAAAGGCCTCCTCACAAGGAAGGTATCCACACCCATATATATGGCATGCTTCGTTCGCCTTCCTAACCGATGTGGGACTATATCCACCCCCCCTCAAGGGAGTCCAGCGCCCTCGCTGGCACACCGATCCGGGCCCCGGCTCTGATACCAATGTAACAGCCCAAGCAACCCGCATGAGGATATTGTCCGCTTTGGCCCACGGCCGCACGGTTTTGCTCTTGGCGATGACACGCATGCCACCCCAAAAGGCCTCCTCACAAGGAAGGTATCCACACCCATATATATGGCATGCTTCGTTCGCCTTCCTAACCGATGTGGGACTATATCCACCCCCCCTCAAGGGAGTCCAGCGCCCTCGCTGGCACACCGATCCGGGCCCCGGCTCTGATACCAA